TTTTTTTTTTTTTTTTTGTTAGTAATTTATTTATTTATTTTTTTTTTGTTATTGGAGAAATGCTGTCTCTTATACACATCTAGATGTGTATAAGAGACAGCTACATTAGTTTAAATTTCAACATATATTAAAAATATTATAACATTATTTTATTAATATTACAAACATATTACGTATATTAAAATATGTAGAACATATATATACCATCTGTTAGTAACATGTAGTGATTATGTCTAACATATTTTGTGAAAATCAGAGGTTTCTGCAAAGTAATTACATTCTTCACATTTATCATTCAATACCATCATATAATTATTTGTTTTTGGGTTTTGAGTTATTCCATAAAATCCATCATTTTATAATCCACTACAATTATTGCGCCATCCTTATCAAGTTGTGCCAAAGATGATTTGAATTGTGCATTTAAATATACCTTCCGGACTTGATGGGACAGGTAATATTTGAGTTTTTCTTTAATTTGATCAAGATTTATTTTTTGTTCAGAAGAAACATGTGTGTTCAAAAAATTAAAAAATTCAAAAAATTCATCACACTCAGTACAACGTGAAGTATGATAATATTTGCATTCTCCAAATGCATATAATAGGCAATGATTTATGCATTCATCATGTGACACAGTGCCATCTTGATTAATCACTAGTTCTCTTTCAAAATTTCTTTTCATATGCCTTCTCAAATTTTCTATACGATTAATGATACCATCCTAATAAGAAGAAAATTAGTTGTTATTAGGTGATTAGGTTTTCTGGTAAGATTTATTAAGTACAAAAAATATTTACCAATCTTTTTTTGTCATTAAAAGTGCTTCGCGCAATTGCTATTAGATCTTGAAAAGCTTCAAATCCATAATCATTACATATTAAACACAATCCACCCAGGTCTTCCCGATATTTAATATGGCTACAATTAGCTAATCGCGCCATAAATGAAGTTTTTTTCATTCCATTTGGGTATGTTTCTTCAAATTTGGTCCATAATGCTTCTTTTTGATCTTGCAAATATAATATTGGCAAATTTGTTTTGGAATCAACTTTATATGAACTCATGGTTACATTACTTTTGTTCTGAAAAAATAATTCAAATTCTCTTTCTTTAATTTCAGACATACGATGAATTTTTCGTTTTGGTTTACTAAAAATGATTGTATTTTGATATATATTGGAAAAAATTTTACATCTTGCAGTAACCTTTCTTTGATTTGATCATTATAAAATCCCATTATTGCTGGTCCAGAATATTCAGTTCTTTTACCAAAAATTTCTTGATATAAAGTAGTTATTGCTGTAGAGTACTTTTTCCTTTGCATGTACAAACAAACCCTGGTTCAAATGGACTTGTAGTGTTTTTAACGATAGAAATAATGAAATTTTCTCCATTAAGTTAACAGGAAACACGCATATGAAGACGAAAAGGTACAATTAATTGTTGAGAAGAGGTGTTTTATAGTTTTTTGCATTTTTTGAAACCACCAATTTCGCGCAAATATGCCATAGTGCAATTCAGAAGATAAAATTCCTTTTGTTAGCAATATTGTAGGGCATTCATGTTGTTGGGACATCTTTTTGAACTGGGGAAAACACCATTCAGAAGCAATTGTAATCGATATGTAAAATTGCGACGAAATTAATTATAGATTGCCGATCATTTTGTATCGCTGAGTGGCGGATCAGCAATTAATAATAAACATTAAATTTAAAAAAATTACATATTGGCATGAAGTTATAATCATACAAAATATAATAATAAAATACCTGAATTTATCACTAGTAATTATTAGTACCATTAATTTTAAAAAAAATCCATTTAAATTAATTTTCTTATTGATGTATAATATATAATGATTAAAAAATTTTTTTATTTTATATTATATGCTACTTTATAATGATAAAAAAATAAAAATACCAATTATTACATATGATTTTATAAAAAACTAAATAATAAAATTTTTAAACATCTTTTAAATGTAGTTTTTATACAATTTGATAAATGGTAAAATTATACTCTGAAGTTGATTTAAACAAAAAAAATTAGGACCAAGTATAATAAAAGTAATGAAAAACATATAAAATATTAAAAACAAACAAAAAAATCTTATAGTAATATACATATGTATTATATGGTTATTTTTAGTAAAAAAAAATAAAAAAAAAAAAAAA